AGAAGTGGGGGAGTTTCATGGAGATTCAAAGCAAATGAAAGAGAAAAAAAGAAGGTACCAGCTAGCATAGAATTAGAAGAAGAGAAAGGGGATTGGTTGAAGTTATGCATAAAAGGAAACGTACCAAGTGACAACACAAGAACTGAGTCAAAGAAAGAGATACCTCTCCCAATCTTGGGGGCATTCATCATGTTCATTTTTAGTGTTTCACTTTCTTCCTTCTAAGTTTTCCCTTATATATATATATATATATGTATGTATGTATGTATGTATGTATGTACACACACACACACACACCTTATAATCTGCATATAATATATTATATATACATCCCTTTTGGCGACAAGTTTCTCTAGAAACCTATATGCGCAAGAAAACTTCATCTTTTTCCTTTTTGTTGTATATACTGATTATTACTAATTAAAAATGGGCCAACTTCAATCTACCCAGAAGAGTTATATATAATCAAACTCGCATAATTAAATACAAAATTACTAATTAGGCTAAAATTTATTTGATTTTAACATTTTTGCTCATAATAGTGTTCTTAATTTTGATGTTGGTAATTACTTTTACTTGTATTCTTTTTATTGATTAAATTGCTTTAATATTAATCTAATCCTTTTTTTTTTATTTTACGAGTAAAATTTTAAATGCATCGTATTAAATATAATATCATACGGGTATTTTTAAGAATTTTTTAAAAAATAATCTGAGTTAAATACGTAAAAATATTTCAAAAAAAAAATTCAATTTACAACTAAAATAAACAAAAGAAGCACAAATTAAAAGAAAACTAAGAAAATCATAAAACACAAAGTAAATTTGTTGTTATTATGACATGGAAGCATATATATATATATATATTATATAATATATATAGGTCTCTCACCTTATCACCTATTTAGAGGAGACAAATGGAGGTTTACAGAATATGTTTTCTTTAGTTGTAGGTCAAGAGACTGACACAGAAAGAAGAAAACTCATCTTTCATAGGATGATGGCTTATTAGGGGCTTCTCCCCCTTTTTCCCATATGTCTGGTCTTCATTCTCTTCCTCTTTTTTTTTTTTTTTTTTTTTACTTTTTCTCTACTAAATTAATAAATAATTATTTTTATAATTACTTGGCAAAAGAAGATCCTGTCAACAACAAAATCACTAGACCGATCCCAAACCCACTTTCAAAATTACCCAAATTCATAACCCGAAACCCAAAAAAGAACCCGACTCCCCAGTACAATAAAAGAAAGTGAGACTGAGACAGACATTCCCAGTTGTATCTCGTTGCTTTTGAGGAAATTTTAAATTAATTAATTAATTTTTATGCGCTCAACACAATATTTATTTGATATTTACAAGGCTATCTATATAATTATTATATGGATATTTGACATAAATTAATTTTAATTACAGATCATATGTCCTTATTTCCTAAAAAAAAAAAAAAAATATAACCCTTAAATTAATTTTTTTAAAAATATTTTGTATTTTTATTTTAAAACAAATTTTATGTGTGTTGTTACGAAAGAAAATTAATTTATTACTTCTTTTAACATCCAAAATTTATTAAATTAATTGATACAGTCGTAGTTAACTCCAAAACTCACAAACTATATATTATAATTTATGTTTATATTTTAACACACACAATTTATTTTGCTTTTGCATGCATGCATGCATGCAAAAATAAAAAATGTTTCTTGCACCAACGAAGCCCACGTGGCACCTTGATTAGTGATAAGGATTATTGTGAGGGTTTTATAAAATAATATTATTTATGAGGGGGAACAGAACAGATACGATCTGCCCGCTACGCTACCTTGGAAAAGTGGAAAGCCTCCTTCCCAAAAGACCAACTGGGTCCCACCAAATCCAACGACACCACATAACATCATAATTAATCCACCCCACGTTACAAATTTTATTTTATTTTTTCAATCTCATCATTTTCTTTTTCCAGGTTCTTTAATTTTAAATTATTAAATATATTTATTTAAAATAAAAAAATGTGGTGATTCCTATTTTTTTAATAAATTAAAAAAAGGGATTAATATATTTAGAGTACTTAAATTGATGATTAAGCAAATCCCAGAGTTTGCATTAAAAAAGGGCATAAACCAGATTCTCATTAATTACTCGAATTTATAGGGCATTACCCACTCTCCACAAGAGAGCGTGCCCTCCATCCTTTCTCCACGAGTTCACGTAACATTGACGCGCAGATATTTAGAGTGGGAAAAGACTTAACGTGGGTAAACGCTAATGGCTGTTTGTTTTGTCTTGGGTTAATAGCTGTTTGTTTGGTCTGAGTTTATACAATTGTTTTTGCTTGGGTACCAAGTGAATATATATAATATGTATGTATGTATTGATTAGAGGGGAGGGGAGGAGGAGCATCTTTTGGAAAGCGGTGGTGGTCGTCCCGTTTGTCGAACTGAGTAAGGCGCACCAATCTCGATACGATCTGATTCTTTTCTTTTCTCTCTCTCTCTCTCTCTTCATGTTGGTTTTTTTTTTTTGAATCTTTTCATCATATTCTCTAGGGGCAGTCTGTTTCTTCCGGTTTAGCCATCATGAGTGGGTCCCATTTTATTATTTTTTATAATTAAATTATCCTCTTAAATAACTTATAAATTCGAGTCTTTGGACACTAATATAATACGTTTTTTATATATATATAATATATATGTATATATATAGACTTTAAAAATAGAGTAGAGGATGGGTTAAACTTGTTAGTTTTGTTGTATTTGGAGCTACCATCAAAATAAATTATTTTTTATTATGTTAATATGTCGTAATATTTGTCTAGTGTTCTAGTGTGACATTACCAGTCTCTTAATTTTATATATAATTGTGTATATATATTTTATTGTTGTTGTTCGAATAATGAAGTAATAGTCTAAGTCTAAGTCTAAGTAGGAAGGAGTAGGAGTAGTATATTTTGTTTTTGACCTTTTCTTTTTTGAGTTTCCATCTTTGACTCAAAGGATCTCTCTCTCTCTCTCTCTCTCTCTCTCATCTTAAGCCAAGAAGTGAGCAGGTGTTGTTTTGATGATTGCAGAGTATCTCATTTGGATACCTTTATCCTGCTTTTCCCTTTTTTCTTTTCATGTTATAAGTATACATATATATATATACACACACACACACACACATATATAATATTGTTGGCTTTTATGTTTCTGAAACAAAATCTCCAGATCTTCTACTTGTTATCGTGTTTGCACTGTTACTACAACTATTACTCCTACTAAAAACCAAAACTGCTTTTTGGGTTTGGCCAAGAAGAGTGAGTTTTTGGAGTGGGGGAACTTGAGATGAGAATCAGGTGGTGATGATCATGACTCTATTGGCTTTCTTCTTCCCTGCTTCACGTGATTCCTACGGTACTGCATGATCATGTGTGCCCATATATATATATATATATACATGCGTGTGAGTCAAATAATATTGACACGCTTTAAAATAAAATTCTATTAATTAATTATTTTATAGTGATCTAATACGTTAAAATCTAATTCATAGATAAAAGAAGCGAGCATGTTAATCACGCATCAAACAACTTAAATCTCAAATGACTAATTATGTAAGTACTATTTTCTGTAAAATATATATTATTCATTAATCGTCAATAGTAATTGTGATTATGTAGAATTTTAATATCTTCCGTATATAAAGATTAAAACATATTCTATATTCTTATCATTACAATAAAAAATTTAAAAATAAATTTTCTTTTTTCAAAAAATATTGTTTAAAGTCATATATATGTATATATATGCAATGAAATTTACGCATGACTTAAATTAAAAAAAATTATTATGTAATTATGAAATGTGAAAATAATTAACTTTCATAAAATAAATTACATAGAGTAAGAGAGAGAATTAGAACGGTTCTTGGAAACTCAAAACTGATCGTTTTGATTTGGAGCTGAGAGAGTCTGAGGGCGTGAAGTTGAGGGTCATAGGAAGCATGGAGTATAAGATTGACGGATTGGATGGCCTACTATAACTACTAACGAGAGTGGGCAAATCCTACTACTCGCCCTCCGCTTCTCTTCCCAGCTATATCCGTACTCGCACATCACTCTTCTCTCTATTTACCATATTTTTAATTAATAATTATTTAATTTAATAATTAATATAATTAAATATATATTTATTATATTATGATTAACGTAAATAAGTCCTGAAGTTTATTATTTGCTAAAATAAAATTTTGAGTTAATGTAAAGTACGCGATGAGAGTGGCGCGTGGGGGAGGTGGAGAAAGGAGGTGAACTATTCCATTTTCCTTGGGAGGGTGGCAGTGACAGAGGCAGAGGGGCAGAGATACGGATACGGACAGAGGTTTTTGATGTGTTGGGTTCCAGACTCAATACTCCCCCCTCCTCCTCGTGATCGGAGAAGGCAGAGCCATGGAAGACTGTTCCCTCTAGTCACGTGGGTTCTTTTGACTACCCAATCACCCACCCCTCCTCTTCTCCCACTTTGTTATGACCACTCCCCTTTTTTTATCCTTCCACAATAAACATTATTAATTAATATAATAAACTATTATATTAATTAATTACCTCTTTCTCTTCTGGGTGTGTAAATTCAGTTCCATGATCAACTCGTCCTCTGCTTTAGAGAAGCAGTGGTATCAATTTACGTACACAGACACATATGTATACCATATACGCTGACTGTACTTACAGTGTAGTGTATAATATACATGTGTGTGTGTGTGCAGATATTATTGTAATATAGATAGATGTTGATGATATAAAAACATTAAAACCTGGGTCCCTCCTTGTCTGTGTCTCTTTATATCTCTCTCTTATTATATTGGTTTCTGTAATCTCTCTCCATTCGCATTTGACGACAACGTGGACTGCAGGTGCTGACTGGTATTTCGCCATTTTATTAGCTTATAAAGCTACCAGACAACAACTCTTCTCACCCCTCCTCTCCTATACTCTCTTACCATTCATCTCTCTTTCTCTCTGAGCTTCTTCTTATTCAAAAACTATATTATTACATTTCATATCCCTCTCAGTTTACTATTTGGCTTCTTCTTCTTCTTCTTCTCTCTCTCAAACCCTCTTGAACTATAAACTCATATCAATAATATCGATAATATCCCCTCATCACCACCCCCACACTCCTGCTCTCTATCAGTCCTCTTAGCAATCAGCTCCTACTTTGTTCATCTTTTTAGTTCGTCCGTCAATCCTGTCTATCGATATCTTGTTTTTGTCTTGATTTGGCCGGTACTGTTGTTGTTTCATTCGTTTTTTCGGGTCAATCTGATTGATCTTTTATTGGAAATAGAGTTTCTGATTTTGTGGGTGAAGGGAGATTAGGTAATTACCCATTTGCACGAGAGAGGAAAGAAAGAAAGATTTCGAGAGATGATGCACAGATGCAGTAGCTCTCATGGAAACATGGTGGGTCCTTGTTCATGTGGTCTGTTTCATACCCAAAGCAACTCTTTCTCCATGTTGTTTTCTATGCCCAACCAGTACCACAAATCTTTTGATGAAACAGACATGTATCCCTTTACGACGTCGTCTTCCCCTTCTTCCTCATCTGGAGTTGACTGCACTCTCTCTCTTGGCACCCCGTCAACTCGTCTAAGCGAAGACGTCGACGAGAAAAGAATCCGCCATGAAAAACGCTCTACTGCTTCCTGCATGTCAAACTTATGCTGGGATTTATTGCAGCCCAATAATAAAACTGCAGTCTCTTATGCACCGCAGTCTTTTAAGTCAAACAGCCGTGGGAACAACAGCAATGGCGGCGGCTCCGGCAGCGATCCGCTCCTCGCTCGCCGATGTGCCAACTGTGACACCACTTCTACACCGCTTTGGAGAAACGGACCTAGAGGCCCTAAGGTACTCATTTTTATTCTTTTTTACACGTACGCCGACATTGTAGTCTTTTTTTTCATTCTTTTCCCTTTTTTGACCGCCATGGAATTCGTGTTGCAGAAGAAGAACAAAAAAAATGATTAGCTCTTCTTTTTCTCGAGTTGATTTTGCTTTTTGCATTAATGTGTTTTCTTTCATTGTTTCAAATTATTTGCAGTCACTTTGCAATGCATGTGGAATTCGGTTTAAGAAGGAAGAGAGAAGAGCTACGGCTGCAAATGCCAACGCTACAGCTGCACCAGGAGTAATAGACCAGCACCATGCTTACCACAATAATGGTGGCTCTTGGGTTCAGCACCACACACAGTCTCAGAGAATGCCGTGCTTTTCTCCGGCGAATGAATTCAGGTTCATCGAAGACGGCGATCGAGAAGCTGCAGACACCGCCATTCCTTTCCTTTCGTGGAGACTCAACGTTACAGACAGACCAAGCCTCGTCCATGATTTCACAAGATAAAAAAAAAAAAAAAACACAGAAAGAAAGAAAACGACGTTGGTCAAGACTCCAGATATATCATAAATCATATATATATATATATATGTGCTGCAGTGCATTACGTAGTAGTACTAATTATATTCGTGACCACAACAGAGTTATATCATTACGAAGGTGACGGTGACATGGCGATCGATTTCGTTTGAATTAGGTTCGAGTGATGACGATGGTTAATGTGGTCTAGTGTCGTCGAAATTCTTTACTTTTTTTTTTTCTTCGTTTTGATTTCCTTTTGATTAACTTCTTTATTTTCTTTTTCCTTTTTTAATTTTCTCCATAGATGGAGTGAAAACGGGATAATTCTATGTTCCTTAAGCTTGCTTCTTTTTTTTTTTTTTTTTTAAAGATTTCCTCTCTTTCAGTTTCATATATGAGCTTTCCTGGTTGTTTTCCCTTTTATTTAGTTAATTCATATTGAACGTCAGCTTCCTTGTGAGATGACTGTATATCGCGGCGATGATGATGATGATGATGAGAGAACCGTTTGATCAGTTATATAATATTACGTCGTACAGATCGTACGGTTACTATCATGTTTCCTCTCGTAACCTATATGTACATGTGTGTGTGTGTGTACAAGAACTGGGAGTTTACTTCACTTCATTTGGGAAGTGAAACTATACATGTTTTCTCTCTGATTTTCAAAGTGCAGTTTTTCGTAAAGGACAAGATTTTAACTGAACAATACTTTTGCGTAAATACTGGGACGTTTTTGTCAAAGTTTTACTGTGAATAGGCTATCCATAAACTTGCAATTTAGAGGGGGTAGATTAATTAGATAAATTTTCATTGGTGCCTAATTTAAATTAATTTATCTCTTAACGTATCAGTTAAAATTAAATAATTTTTTTCCCCTCTAATTATCTCTCTTATACTTTAATTATAAAATAGTAATATGAAACAACTTCAGATTTCGTTTGTAAAACTTAGTCATTTAATTAGCGTGTTGTAAGTTATAGGCAGTTATTATATAATGCTTAATTCACTACATTAAAAGTTTAATTTATAAATATATTAATAAATTAATAATTTATCTCAACTAAACATGATATATCATATTAAAATAAATACGTCTCTTTAACTAAAATAATTATAACCGAATAAACAATTTGGTATAATTTTTTATTAATAAAAAAATAATAATATAAGATATTTGAACCAAATGTAATATTAGTTTATTATAACTCGTTTAAATAATGTAAAATATATTTAGGTTTATTTATAAGAACAAGTCAAATGAATTTGAATTGTTAAACCTTTTTTTTAAAAAAAAATTATAAATACTATATTATATTTTTTAATTTATTGTAATTATTACGATTAAAAAAATTTAATAAATATGAATATATTTATTTTGTTCCTATATGTCATAATTCATCAAAACAAAATCGAACATAATTATCACAATTTTACTAACTATAACGTATTTGTACACTTTTATAAAGAATATTACCTTAATGTTACTAATAACTATATTTTACAAAACTAAATGTTTAAAATAACAAATTAATTTAACTATATTTATGCAAATAAAAATTCTTAAACAAATATAATTCTTATAAAAAGAGCTTACATATCTTTTCCAAATAATTAATTTATATTTTTTATTTAACCATTACAAAATATTTTTTTAAAAAATATCATGACGTGCATATTTGTACAAAATTTAAATTAATTAAAATAATTTTACTAACACACAAATAAATTAAATTTATTATTTATTTAATTAAATATTACAATTTAATTACTTTAAATTTATAATTTTTAAATATAGTGCCATGTTAGCTTCAACGTGTTTCTGAACCGGAGAAGGAGTGCGGTTCAGTACGTAATTAATAGTTTTGTCATATTATGCTCAGCTGTGTTTTAATCTTGACCGTCAAATTTTTATTTTTCAAATTTAAGAAAAGAACGTATCGTAATTAATTTTCTTCTCTGCTGTGGGAATTTTTTTTTATGGTCAAACCAGAAATCATTCCTAATTCCAGCATAAAGTCCCCACATGGCAGATGGAAAAGATATACACCAAATGTTTTAATACTTGGTAACATATTAAAAAATTCATGTGCTATTTAAAATTTTAAAAAAGTAATTTTATAAAAGTAAAAAAATTAATATTATTATATATGAAAAAAAAGGTAAATAAAGTTTTTAACTGGTTACTTTAACTAAATAAATTTAACTGCTATGAAATATATTGCTAGTAAATTTTTTTGGGCTTCGTGTAAGTTTAGGCTGTAAAATTTGGGCTTAGTTACCGTCAAGTTAGAAAAAGGCCCAAGGACTTTAAGCCCATTCTAAAAATTTGCGCATAATTTTATATATATTTTTATATAGATTTAATTTAATTTTTACGTAATAAAAAATTATTGAGAAATAAATAAAAATAAAATGTATGACTTAAAAAATCGACTTTGAATGGAAAGAGAAGTGATATATATCATAGAAATTAAAATTTTAAAAATTAAAATCGAAATAAAAAATTATAATTAAATTAAATATTTAATAACAATATAATTGTTATTTAAAATTTCTTTAAAAAGTAATTTCAATAAACAAACTCGCTCCCTTTTACCAACGAATTTACGGATTTAATTGTTAAATTTATCACAAACTGTTTCATGGCACCGGCCCTGAACACTGGCCTTCTACTTCTGCCTCTAATAAACCCCTCACCCGCCACCTTTTACTCTGTTAAACCCTAATTACCTGTTGGCTAACCGGGCAACCGTTACGCTTCGCTTAAGCTCAAATCTTCACTGCGGAGCCAAAGAGAAGAATAATGGATGCTGATGCTAAATTCGCAGACTCGTTGGACTTGAAAGTGACAGAGCTGCTCAAAGAGGTCCAGTTCGACTACAGTTCTGCTTTCACCAAACTCGTCGATGACACAGTTTCATCGATTAAAGAAGTAATCGATAACATCCCCGAAAATTTTCAGGTCTGTCCATCCTCTCTCTCTCTCTCTCTCTCTCTCTCTCTCTCTCTCTTTCACACACGCACACACCCCTTAATTCTCACCACTGTTTGGTTGCCGAGAGAAACAAAAAACAATGGAGGTTAAATACAGTTGTTTATTTACTTTGTCAGGTCACGGGGGATTTGGCTCCGGGTTTTGTAAGCGATATTAGCGCAGATAAAGTAGAATTCAACTTTAAGAAGCCAAAGTCAGTTGAAATCGGTGGTAGTTATGCAATACGTTGCATTGCAAAGCCTCATGCCACTGTAGATCTTTTAGTTCGTATGCCAAAGGTAGCTTTGCAGCCATATTGTTATTTTAAATGTTTGCAAACTGAGCTGGTCAAGTTCGTCTAGAAGTAATGCAAAGTTCTCTGTTTGTTCTTTTTTGGAACTTAATTTGGGGCAGGAATGTTTCAATGAGAAAGACTATCTAAATTACCGGTACCATGCCAAAAGATGCCTTTACCTATGTGTAATTAAGAAACATTTGATGTCATCTTCCCCCATTCAGAAGGTTGAGTGGTCTACCCTACAGAACGAGGCTCGCAAACCTGTTTTAGTAGTCTATCCGGGTTTGTTTATCTCTTAGCTACTAATAGTTGCTTTCTTTGTTTCTCCATATTGTCATAAATGATGAGGCTATTTTTGCTATACTGCCACTAATTCTGTTGTTTTAAAAATGATTGTCAAATGGTATTGTAGTCAAGACATTGGCTGATGTTCCTGGGTTTTTTGTGAGGATAATTCCTACGGCAACATCATTGTTTAATGTTTCAAAATTGAATTTGAAGCGAAACAATGTCCGAGCGCTAAATCAAGGTGCTAGCTAATCTCTAGTCCCAGCTTGATGTTCTTTGTGCTGATTTTTACACAATGTTCTATTATGCAATAGCCATGTAATATAATCTCATTTCTATTATGCTGTATCTTAAAGGGGGTGATCCTCTACCTACCCCAAAGTATAATAGTAGCATTTTGGAAGACATGTTTATAGAGAACAATGCAGAACTTCTAAAGAAAAACTTCTTGGGGTGGAAGGAACTGAGAGAGGCTTTAATTCTGCTGAAGGTATGCAATTAAACCTTTTGATAATTGAAATCTTCCTGCAACTGAAATAAACTGGGACTAAAAAATATAATTTCCTACTTGTTGCAGATTTGGGCTCGGCAGAGAAGTTCAATATATTCCTATGATTGCTTAAATGGGTTTATAATCTCTATTTTACTTTCCTACCTTGCAACTCAAGATAAGATTAACTGTTCCTTGAAGGCATTTGATATATTTAGAGTTGGGTTGGACTTCATTGGTATGTTTATTTTCACTTCTACTTTCTTTCTCATTTTCTTTACCGTTAATTATTACAATTTTTCTTGTCATAACTGAGGATTCTTATTCCTTAATATTAATTGTTAAAAGAAGAGTAACTGTCCATTAGTTATGTGGAGGCTATGATGTAATTATTCTATTGCCAATTGTAAAAGTTTATGTCAGACAAGAGACAAACTCATCTAGTTCAACTAGTTAAAGTTTTTATTTAGTGATGTATGCAAATAGTGGATGTACTTTTACTATCAGCTCTGTTGAGTTATGAAGTGTCATATTTTACGTTTCTTGGTCAAAAGAAGAACTGAAAGCAACATATCTGTATGCCAATATTGCATTTCTGTTTGGCAGTTTATGGAGAGTTTGTGAATTATGCTTTTTCCTCCTTGTTGTTCCATGTACTACTTGGACAGAATTAGTATGGTGCCTGATTTCTTAGATCTGATATCAGCAATTGGATGCTTTCTTGTGGCTGTGTAAGAATGTTAATACTCTTCTCATCAAATGTAATGCTAATTACCTTTCGACTATGGGGTAGTAAGCTTTTCTGTGAATTACAGAAAATAAACATGGCTAATTACTACCAAAACGAGAAATATCTTAGGTTTATGAGCATGAGTTCTGTCATAGAAACTTACGTGTGTCAAATAATTTGATTTGGAAGGGCTATGATTGACACGAGGCATCCTCTTCTTAAAAGAAAAGTTGGCTCTTCCAGATTTTAAAACATAAAATTCTTTTACGGGAAGTTAAAAGATGGGAATTATAGGAGTTGGTGCCACACTGTTCAATTGTTTCTATCATTACATTTACTATTGTTATTCTTGGCAGCCACTTCCAAATTATGGGAGCGAGGGCTTTATTTTCCACCACAGGATCAGAACCGCGTTCCAAAGGAGGTATATTGGTTCCTGATTCTTTGTGATACTATAGTGTTTTTATCTCACTTTTAATTGTTTCAATGATATGCCTCTAATGCCATTCCTATTCATGTTGATGTTGCTCCCTCGTGTCCTTCACCTCCCCTCATCTTGGAATTAACATTTAATTTAATTTATTAAATGAGATATTAATTGCCAAACACAAAGAGGCATTAAAATGACTGATTAAGTATGTTTATCAGGTTTTAGATGTGGCATCAGAATTAGTTGTCCATTAGAGAAGCAAACTATGGTTGATGAATGGGGCAATGCTTGGAAAATTATTTTATATCATTGCAAGTACTTTGCTGAGTTTCCTGGTTATTTTATGTCGTTCAAATGTGGGATATGCCATTCTATATTTGCATTTGTAACGTGTAAATATAATTGGGACCTTTATTTTCCAGGAAAAGAAGCAACAAAGGGAATCATTTCCAGTGGTTATATGTGATTCTTCTACACATATGAATTTGGCTTTCCGGATGACCAGAATTGGATTCTTGGAGGTAATGTTAGCTGCCATGGGAGCCCATTTGTCAAACTAGTTAAAATACAAATGTTGGATTCGTTGCTTCAAAGTATTTTTATTTATTTTGTGTATTCCTTTCCCTAACATGTAGCTCCAAGATGAGGCTGCTTTGACACTTAAATGCATGACGAATTGTAGAGATGGGGGCTTTGAAGAGATTTTCACGATGAAGATTGACTATCCTGCAAAATATGATTATTGCATAAGGTATGTTGTTTGGTATGGTTCTTCTATTTGTTATCGGTTGCTTGATGGCGATGAAAAGAGGCGATTTAGATTGTAGCGTAGATGGATGGTCCCTTTGCCCCCCATTTGTTTTTTGATTTAATCAGATGGACTGTTGTGCTTGAGTATCTTTTCTCTCTTACTGGAAAATCAACCTTTCTTTCATGCTTCAATTGTTGTTACAGCATGGCTTATTTGTTGCTACTGTAGCCATAATTGTTGCATAATATTTTTGTGTGGAATAACTCGCTTGCATCATGACGTGATGTCCTAATATCATCATTCTTTTTGATTCAACAATTCCTTTTTTGAAACTAGCTGATTCACAATGAATTTTAAATTCCATGTAATCTGACCTCAGTAATTCCGACTTGCATTTTAGCTAAAGTTTGTCCTATTACCATTCTATGGGTTGCTTGAAAATGCTGTAAATGCATTGCTAAATAATAGAGAACTACAGTTTCTGTTTTGCAAAATAACTAATTCTTCTTGCTAGTTGATTCCATGACATTGTTTTGTTGGGCCACTCTTTGGCATGCTATTTTGCCATGGTTGCCTTTTCAGATTGAATCTCAGGGAAAATCGTCAGGTCTATGCATCAGGATTTTGTTTGGACGATGAATGTTGGAGATTGTATGAACAGAAAGTTCATAATCTGCTATGTCAAGGGTTGGGAGATAGAGCGAAATTGATTCGTGTTATCTGGAGAAATAGTATCGCTGAATGGAATGTAGAAGATGTATGGAAGCAATTGTAGCATTTCAACGTGTGATTTTAATGATATATATTATGTTTCAATGCAACTTGTTCTAATTTTTGTTTTTAGTGATTCAGGGTTTATCAACACTTGATAGATCACCATTACTTGTTGGAATTTCTATAAGCTCCATAGAGAAAGCCTTTAGGGTGGTTGATATCGGGCAAAATGCAGAAAACAAAGAAGAGGTAATTGTGATGTTTTAAATTGATTTTGAAGTTACTTGACTCATGCTGATTACATGTACTATACTAGGCTCTGAAGTTCCGGAGGTTTTGGGGTGAAAAGGCAGAGCTTCGGAGATTTAAAGATGGTACCATTGCCGAAAGCACAGGTGTGACTTTGATCATGCTTCTATTAGTTGTTACAATTTGGTTTGGTTGTGCGAAGTTGATTACCTGAAAAGTTTACTTTCTGACTTTGTAGTATGGGAGACTGAGCAATGGTCAAGGCATCTTATTTTGAAAAAAATCGTTGAGTATGTACTTCTGCGGCATCTTTCTCTCTCTAAAGAGAACATTGTTCAAATAGTGGATCAGCTTGACTTTTCTTTGATATATGGTGCCAAAGGTAATGCTGCTGGCCACCATATGCATAGTTCTTGTGATTCTTTATTTTATGTTTGTCTCTTTTTCTTTTTTTGTTTTTCATCCTCGTGGAACTATAACAATTTAATGAAGTAACAATGTTATTACAAATATCAGATCCTGTATCATGTTCTGGAGCTTTAATTGGGGCATTTGAACTTCTTTCAAAGCGCTTGCGGCTTATTGATGATATTCCCTTGGGAGTATCTAGTGTTCAGCCTTTAGATTCAGGTATTCCTTTTAGTTTTTCCTTTTTTGCAGGAAAAACTTCTAACTTTCCTTCTTCCCTTTGTCAAATTTGTTTTATTTAGCATATTTTCTGGATGATGTGACGGTACTGTACTTGTGCCATACAAGCACGTATACATGTGTACTCTGATGAATTGTTCTTAGATTTGGTAGACCTGTTGTCTCTGCTTATAATTTAGTGCTAAGGTTCTGAACTTCTTTAACTGGCTAATAGAAATGCTGCATCTTTATCATTTCCCACAGCTTTCAGGTTTACATCTGTCTTCCCTCCTGAACCTCATCCACTGGCTAGGGAGAAGGTTGATACATCGAGGCTGCATAAGCTCCCTCAGTCCTGTATTCAGGCACTGGATGTTATGATTCAGGCAGGACATACTGCTTACCAGTAAATGTTTGCATACCTTATTTATATGTTTTTCTAAATAAGGATTCTGAAAACTTTTTTGCTTGTTCTGATGCAGTTGGAAGGTTCTGGTAATTGGCCAATGGATGATTTGGCAATTGAGAAAACTAAATCTGCTTTCCTTCTTAAAATTGCAGAGAGGTGGGTAAGGCTGTTGCTTTGTTTTATGTGGTATCTCTTATGCAAAACTTGCTGTATCTATATTTTTTTTGCTTGCGATAGCTTAACTAAGTCTGGTATTGTGACAGTCTTCAAAATAGTTGGGGGATAACATGTTCTGCAACTGAGGATAATGTTGTTGTTTTCATGTCCGGGTATGCGTTTTGCCTTAAGATTTGGCACGAGAGAGGCCTGAATTTGGTGAAGAAAGAAAGTAAGATATCTCATTCTGCTTCATACAAGTTTTTATTTTTGAATATGCTGATTAACCCACAAAAGCTGTCTTATTAAACTTATGTTAAAATGTAGCTGGAAATGGTCCGGTGAAGAGGGTTCCTTCAATGGATCGGAAACTGTTTCTTTGTAGTCAGCATGCGAGCATGATCAATGGATTGCAGGGTCGTTACCCAGTGTATGGGCCAGTTGTTAGGTAATGGTTTGATTTCTTTCTCTAGGTTATTCCGTCAACCTGGCAATTTGTTTCTAATTTTCTTATGGTTCATTCTTAACTCTGTGTATCTCTAACATTTATGAAGGCTTGCAAAACGCTGGGTTTCTTCACATCTCTTTTCGGCTTGCTTAGCAGAGGAGGCTATTGAACTGTTGGTTGCTTACCTCTTTTTGAAGCCTTTTCCATTTACTGTTCCTTGCTCACGTATCACTGGATTTTTAAGGTTTGGCTTTCTTTTTATGTGATACACGTAATCAGAATACTACATTGGGCTAAAATTTTATGTTGTAATACATAGCTTGGCGTTTTCTCATTTTATACCATGAATACTGAACTTAATTATGGAGTTGTTGATGATCCTCTCAACCAGTGTGTATCATTAGCTTTTCTGGATGTGCTATGAACCTGTTTCTGTGTGTGAGGACCAAATCTGGTGGAAACTTTGGAATAATGGATTTTTCTCTGTCCAATCATACTACAAATTCCTATATAGAAAGAATGGTGAGGGTAGGGTTATTTTCCTGGCAAACCAAATCTGGAAAACAAAAGCGCCCCCCCTTATTGCTTTCTTTGCTTGGGAAGCTTGTTGGCAACGAATTTTAACAATTGATAAACTGAAAATTAGAGGAAGGATCCTGGTTAATGGCTGCATCTGTTATCTTCAAGCTGAGGAAACTTGCAATCATCTACTTTTGTGGTGTCCGACTGTGCGCAGTTTGTGGTGTATGATTTATGAACTGTTGGGGATTGAGTGGGTAATTGCTGGATCTGTTAGAGAGGAAATTTGGGCTTGGGATGGACTATCTGTAAAAAATAAAACTGCAAACTTGATTCCATTGACAGTTTTTTGAGTCATATGGAATGAGGGAAATAGTAGGGTTTTTGATAATATTGAAAGTAGTATTAACATACTAAAAGATAAGTAGTTACATTATTTTGGGTCAATATTGTTACGTCATGACATTGTTAGTGATGTGGATTTTGAGAATGTCATTAATATACTAACACGGTTGTAAATCCTTTTTGTAAATAGGTGGTACCCCTCACTTGGTACCTTGTTTATATATATATACCTTACTTTTTTATTTAAAAAAAAATGAACCTGTTTCTTTGTTGCTACTAGTAACAGTTTTGTGCTCTGGTAACTGGCCTTTTCAAACAGGTTCTTGCGGCTATTAGCAGAATATGATTGGACGTTTTCTCCTCTGGTTGTGGACATAAATAATGATTTGAGCAGAAATGATGAGAAAGAGATAAATGTATGTCTTCAGTTTTGCACGTTATTATCCTGGCATACATATTTTACGTTTTTCCTTTGGGCTATAAAATTTTATTTAATGACCGCCTAATTTCATTTTCATTATTTAGATAATTTCATGTCCAGTAGAAAGGCTAATGAGGAAAATAAGCAAAATATAAATGCACCAATGTTCCTTGACTACGTCTTATGACAAGGCATCTGAAGCTTGGACAAGTTTCTCGCCGAACTCATTGGTTAGTAGTTTCTAGTAACTGAATTTGGCTGCATGATTTAACAAAATAAGTGTTGGGACTTTCTCTCTTTCTCTCTCTCCCCTGCCTTTGTCTCATTCCCAGGTGTTTTAATCATTTTATTGCTCTCTAATTTCTCCCCTTCTTCCTGACCATCAATGTCTGAGAATTCTGTAATACTGTTATCTTTAATGTTCAGGTCCTTTGAGACATCAAATTCTATCGTTTCATATCAATATTTGCTTTGGTTTTTCTGGTCTGTTCTTTGCTGACATATTGTGTATTATTGATGTAAAAGGAGCTCAAGAGGTTGGTGGCTTATGCTCGAAGCAGTACGAACTTGTTGAGTAATCTTGTATTACATGACCAGAGTGATTCTTATGGATGGGAGGTGAGATATACTTGACAGATATCATATTATGTATATGTTTCTTCATCAATGACTTCTAATGGCAAATTTTTCTGGCTTGCAGTGTCTTTTCCGGACACCTTTAAACAACTACGATGCAATAATTCTTCTCCACAGGGACAAATTACCTTATCCTCAACGTCTTCTCTTCCCATCAGAGCTGAACCAAGGTTGAGTTGGCAATGAATATTTTCTTTCTTTTATTTTTCACCAATATACATAAATAATGATAATCATGTGCAAAAATTTGGACAGGGAGTCATGTGGCTCATGGGAAAGCCAGCAAGAGTTTTCATCACTTCATATTACCTGGAGATTTAAAGACGAGCTCTGAGGAGTTGAAAAGTAAGCTCATGGTGAACTTTGATCCTCTGATGTCCTTTGCTGGGGATTTAGAGGTATGTTTGAGCACTTCCATCTTTAATTTTGGTCAAAGTACAACAAACCTGTGTTTTTTTTTTCCCAGGACACTTTGATCCCTGCGAGTTGGTGTTTTTTTCATCTAACATAAACTATTAGTTCTTTTTGGATGATATATCTCCACTTTGTTTGGGCTTGTAAGTATAATCATGTGAAATTTTATGTCTTAAAAAACTAATGGTTCTCTGAAAAATAACAAACCAAATCACTGAAACCTAATTGTGACACAAAAAGCTTCTGGATTGTAATGAGGCCAAACAAGAGGGGAAACTATAAATTTTCCTTTAACTTTTTTCTATGAAAACTTTATTTTCTTCACTTTCGCATGCCAAATATCTGCAGAAAGAGTTCATTACATTGAAGCTGTGGTATGATTCTCTGGGTGGTGATGCTATCGGTCTAACATGGGATGGAACTTATTCAAAGGTAAAATGAGCAATTATCCCAAATATCTCCTGCCAACTTAACCTGGATTCCTTCACAAAGTTTATTTAAAGGGATCGTGGAATTCACTACATGCTTATTGTTTCCAGAAACGAGAAAGAGACGAAGAAGGTGGAGAGGGGAAATATCCCATTGATGTTCTAAAAGCTGTGGGTGAAATTGGGAAAGGTTTTGTGAGAGAGATTTATTTGCTCAAAGCTCCTCGTCTCATGAAATAAATCTCTACTCTTACCGGCAGCCATCTTATTGACAAACCTGTTGTGATCTTTGATCAAGTTTTGACGTCGCTGATGTTAGCACAGAGGAGAATTGCTTTACACACGATTTTGCGGAATTGTATAGATGAAATAACCACTAAATGTATCATTTTTCATTATTTACAGGAAGTAGCTGATTGAGTTGAAACTATATTTTGCAATAATCAACAGTTTCCCAACAGAGAATCTTGCTGGCCAACATTTTCTCTGCTGCTTTGTAATTCCGTCGCGATTATTAGGCTATAATATTCAGCCTCCAGGAACTTTTCAAGGTGGGTCAAGTAACAATATGCCATGATAATGCTGTTGGTAAGTTACACATATGTTGATGTATATAATTAGATTCAAGAACGACCATGTTCAAATTTTTATACAAAGTCAGAATGTTACAATAAGCTTAATCTCACAAACACTGATTTATTTTAGTTTTCATTTGAACTGAAAATAAATCGAATGTTTGAAATAAATAAAAAAATGTTGCGAACTAAATTATAATTAAAAAAATATTAAATATTAAACTTAATTAATTTGATAATTTTTTTTAGTTATTGATAAATAAAAGTTAGTTATAATAGTTAATTCATAATTAAATTAATTTAAAATATATCTTTAGTTTAGAATAAATTTATATTTTATTTGTTAAGAAATAAATTTAAAAAATATTTAACTTAAATTTAATCATGAAACTATAATGTTATTAATATTAAAACTTTTATTTTATAAATGTAAACTTTAAATCTTTAAAAATTTACTAGCATGGGATATTTTAAATAAAATTCAAAATGTATTAACTTAAATTTTTATTAAAATTTTATAAGAGTTTATTTATGAAAAATACTAAATGTTTATTTTGAATATACATTTCTCCACTTTTTGACTAGCGATCAAATATTTATTTTTAATAAATTTAATAAAAAAATTAGTTTTAAATATAGATTTAGAGAATATTAATTTTAAAAATTATAATTTAACGACTAAAAATATTGTTAGGAGTTATATTTTAAGTAATATTATTCGAAAATACTCTGGTGGGAGAAAATAAAAAATCTTTTAATTTAAGTAAAAAAAATTTTGGGGGGTAATTATAACCTTGATAAATGTTTTCTTCTTATTTATTTGAATCAATTAATTAGAAATGAAAAGAAAAAAGTGGAAATAGATTAATTATAAACTTCCAGTATTTCTCTAACATTTCAATCAATTACCGACTGCTATCCCCACGAAAACACCAATCATTCTCAACCAAATAGCAAAATTGTTCGCACTCAACTCTGGTTTCTTGTTTCTCTTGCTATTGTTAGTTCTTTAATTTTCGGCAATAAGTTTATTGTGTTCAATCTCGTCTACAAAATACACGGAGCTGCTGTTCTTCTCGGCAGGTAATCACTCAAGACTCCAAATTTAGGATTCTTCCTTTCAGTATTTGTTAAGAGTCATAAACGGATCTCTTTGAGATTCATAAAGCCATTGCTTGGCGCCATTCTGTTTCGGTACACGAATTTGAGTGAGAATCATGTCGAAGATTTCAACAGTCGGATAGTTTCGAGATTTTGTATGTAATACGTTTGATGAAATTCCTGAGTGGCGAAATGCTACATTTACTAAAAATCCCACTGAAAAATCGGGCTGCCGATTTGCTTCCCATACTCTGATACTAAATCTCTGCTTCTGGTTTATTTATGGCTTTACATTGTTAAGATTTCAGCTATCCGTGTATATTCTCAGCTATTTCCATGTAATCGATTGTGCTCAAAGAAAACAATTTAATACCTGATCGATTGGTTTATTGCTTTAATCTTGTGAGTGATGGATTCTTGATACCGCAGCCTGTTTTGCTCCATGATCTCTTTTAGTTGGTTATTTGGTATGAATCTATGTTGAGAGACTGCTCCCTTGATTTTGTTTACTTGACTGAATTCAATGGATTTTCTTTTAGCTTTTTTTTTTATGAAAGCTAACAAGATTGTTTGAAGGGATTGATTCCAAATATTTCGAGGAAAATTTAAATGGGATTGGACAAACTCTTATATTGATTTATCAGTTTTGTTCATTGATATTTTGGCCTGATCTTTTATATTGGCTGGTACTCACCTTAGCATCTAGGAATTTGTAGTTAAAGTCTGTGTACATTGGCAAGCATTCATATGGATTGTCCATTGCATTTCGTAGGAGAATTTGAAACTAAATATTGATTTCATTAGAAAAAAATATCTAGTAACAAAAGAACATTGTAAAGAAAAAGACAATGCTCATGCTTATACTTCTAAGAGTAAAACACACATTTTTTTAACCAAAAATTTGACCTAAAGAAGATGATGACAATTTGATAGGGACCATCCTTATTAAGACTTTTTTCTCTAATTATTGTTGATTTGTCAATATGAACAAAACAAAAAGAATCGCCAGCCTGAAGGTTCTCCACTGGCATCTAAGGTGTCGAGAATTGTGGCTTCTGTTTTTAAGTGCCAGTAATGGGGCTTCTCCGTATTATCCGAAAGATCAAGAGAAAAGAGAAGGAAATGCGCATACTCATGGTGTA